TTAGCAAACCCCAGGAGGGAATGTTCCAGCTGTTGAGAGGAGTTAACACTTATTCAGCTAATTTTTAAAGCTCGTTAAAGTTTATAGCCCTCTTGTTTGTATACTGATGCTGTTTCTGTGCTGCACTGTCCATCTTCAGTGACAGGAAGCAGCAGGAATGTTGAAGGATGTGGACTTTCAGATTATTACTATGTCAAGTGAAAATAATAAAAATAATCCTTTGCAATTATTATGGTTCTTTTATTGCCAGCGTTCTCTCAAATGAATTAAGGCCAATTGTTTTCCTCTAGGAAGCTGGCTCTTTGCACATTTGTGAGACTTACCCTGTGACTATGTTCTTCCTTCAGTCTTCCTGACTTTAACGTTACAGTCATTCAGTCGATCACCCAAACCAGAACCCTCAGTGTCATTCTACACTCCTGCAAACAAGTGTTCAGAAAATCCTATCAAGTCTATTTCCTGAAATACATGGATTGATCCTCCCTTACCGCTACCACTGCCTTGGTTCAGATTGTTGACATCTCGTGATACACTTTAACAGCCTCCATACTGATCTCTCTTACTTCAGTCTTGACCCCCTTCTAACCAGTAATATCCAAGATATTTAGAATCTTCTTTCTAAAAGGCAAATACGATTGTATCACTTGTTTGCTCAAAAACCATTCGTGAGTCCAATTTGGTACCTGTCTATTTATTTGGCATGCTTCCTTCTCCCTTCCCTCTCTCTCTTAATTGGCCTATGCCGGATTCATACAGAATTACCTGCAGGTCTCCAGTAGTTCATGCTTTTTCATGCCTCATTCCCTCTGCCTGACAAATGCCCCTTCCGGTTGATCCTCTATTGAGAACTGATGGAGATAGCTCATATGACACTTTCTCCAGGACCCATTTAGTGACTTTATTCCTATCCTTCCACCTTTCCCCTCATCATCGCCCAGTCATTCTGTGTTCTCAAAGCAATGAATATGTCCTGAGATTACAGCACTTATGGACTGCACTGTGCTGATTATAAGCTTATTTATCCCACTATGCTATACTCCTTGAGCATAGGAGTGGTGTCTCATTATGTCTGTTGCTAGGCACTTAGACGTTGCATGTAGCAGATGCTAAAAGATACCTCGTTGAATAATCGGATGGATGGATGGATAAGTGAGGGGTACCCCTGTTTTTTCCCCTCTGTGTTTCTTTTCTTTCATATTCTGACCCCTTGCTGCTTTGTGCTCTCTGGAATCCTCCACCACAATCTCAGACCTGGGCCTGTTTTCAAAAGCAGCCACCTCATCTTTCACGATGACTTTTTCCTCTCCCTTTTCTTAAAGTCCCCTTTTTCTCTGTACTGATTTTAATAGCTGTTAAGAGCGAAACATTTGAATTTAAACTATATTATTCTAAGTTGTGAATGATTCACCACCCCTACATTTTCTATTTTTAAAAGCAATTTTTATTTCTACTTGTAGTTTCAAAAAGAAGGCATAAATTACTAGGTGAGATTTCAACAAAGACATTAGACCAGAGGATATAGTTTTGCTCTTTCAAATTACTCCTGTTTTTTTTTTGGAGGAAGATTAGCCCTGAGCTAACTATTGCCAGTCCTCCTCTTTTTTGATAAGGAAGACTGGCCCTGAGCTAACATCCGTGCCCATCCCCTACACTTTATATGTGGAATGCCTACCACAGCATGGCTTGATGAGTGGTGCCAAGTCTGCACCTGGGATCTGAACCATCGAACCCCAGGCCGCTGAGAAGCAGAACGTGTGAACTTAACCGCTGTGCCACCGGGCCGGCCCCTCAAATTACTCCCTTACTTTGAGTAGTAGGCCAGCCTCATTTCACAAAAGAAGAGCTTCCCTTTTCTAAAATCAAGAGACAATATTGTTATTAGAACAACAATAACTACCCTTTCATGAGTGTTTGCAGTTGATCAGGCACTATGCTAAATCCTTTATACGCATAATCTCATTTAGTCCTCAGAATAGCCCTGAAAGATAGTTCTCACTTTTCCCATTTTGTAGTTGAGGAAACACAGACACGGAGAAGTCAAATGACTTGCTCAAGTCACACAGTTAGCAGGTGAAGAAACCGTGATTTGAACCAGTGCCTTCAGATGTCAACTCAACATATGCCCACGCTCAGCCATGGTGCCAGGTGAGTAGGGTGACTTTTCAGAGAAACAGATTCAAAGAGCAAACGCAGCAACAGGAAGTGGGGACTCAAGGAGGAGATGGGGACAATCTGTCAATTCAAATGGAATAATAATAAAAGTGACCAACGTGATTAAGGTTTCCAGTACACCAGGGACTCTGTTCAACACCTTCCATACTTTATATATATTCAATCTTCAGAAAAACTCTTTAAGTAAAAATAAAGAGGAGAAAATTGAACACAAAAAATTAAACTCAGAAAGTGAATTACCCAGGTTGTTCAGTTAATAAGTAATAAAGAGGGGATTTAATAAGAGTTTCAACGATGAATGCTCTTATTTTATCAATTGAATTAAAAAAAAACCCTGAGGGTCAGTGTACTGTTCATTTTAATAAGGGTCCTGATATGTATATATTTTGTCTCTGTTACAAGAGCCGTCATACTTAGAAGTCTGCAGTTTCAAGGGCCTTTCTACTTTGAGTTGTATAGTCTACATTTCTATTCCCCTGATCTTTCAGAAGGTGTTTCTATTTCTTTTTAGAAGAGAAATTCCAAGTGCTGATGCAATAAATTGCCAGTAAGTAAGGCACTGGGACCTGTTGATGTGCATTTGTTCCGCTTCTCTAAACACCCCCTTTATTGGTCTTGATGGACGGCTAATTCCTCGCAGGCTCCATTACTTCTCACTTGTACAAATGTCTCTTCTTTCTTTTCAGGGCTGCGATAGCTTTAAGGAATGGGGTCGATATTTCAAAGGCATAATTAATTGAGCATGCCTCCTCCTTCATTAGGAAGCTCATTTTCTCTTGAGCCTCTCTCTTTCTCAGTGTGTCTGCAAAGCCCTTCTTCATTCTCCCTTAATTCCTTTTGTGAGCACTAGTTCATGTTTCTTTTTCTTTGAGTTTCTGATGCTGTTCTCATTTTTAAATATACTTTAACCTCACAAATGGCATGAATTCTTTCACAATTTTTATTCTATCTTCCGTGGCAATTTATTTTTCTTGCAGGGACCCGTGGGTCAAACTCACTGTGGTTCCAGCTGCCTAGCCTGGTGGGAATGCCCACAGGGCAAGCTGTGGACAAGGGGCATTGGGTGGGACAGCAATATCTATGATTAGCACAGGGGAAAAGCGATCAGCTGGCAAGTTGAATAGCTTACTTTTAAAAACTTTTTAATCAGGGCAAAATACACATAAGATTTACCATTTCAACCATTTTAACTGTACAGCTTAGTAGCCTTAAGTACATTAACATTATTGTATAGATAATCTCCAGAACTCTTCATTGAAACTGAAAATCTGCAACCATTAAACAACAACCTCCTATTCCCCCCTTCCCCGGTTCCTGGAAACCACCATTCTACTTTCTGACTCTGTGAATTTGACGACTCTAGGTACCTCATGTAAGTGGAACCATACAGTCTTTGTCCTTTTGTGACTGGCTTATTTAACTTATCACAACTTCCTAAAGGTTCATCAATGTTGTGGCATGGTCAGAATTTCCCTCCCTTTTAGGACTGAATGATATTCCGTTGCATATGTGTATGATATTTTGTTCATCCTTTCATCCATTGATGAACACTTGGATTGCTTCCATCTTTTGGCGATTGTCAATAATGCTGCTGTGAACATGAGTGCACACATATCTTTTTGAGACCCTACTTTAAATTCTTTTGGGTATATATGCAGAAGTGAAATTGCTGGATCATATGGTAGTTCTAATTTTAACTTTTTAGAGAATCTCCGTACTATTTACTGTAGTGGCTGCACCATTTTACATTCCCACCAATGCACAAGAGTTTGGATTTCTCCGAATCCTCACTAGCACTTGTCATTTTGTCTTTTTGATAGTAGCCATCCTAATGGATGTGTGAGGTTGAATAGCTAACTTTTATGGAGTTTGAGAGAAATTCAAGTTAGTCTGTTAGAAGACTTTCCCTCTAAGGTATCAGTCTGAGGGAGGAAGATGATACACGACAGCAAGCAGCAGTTCTTGGCATTGTGGGAAAACTGGTCTTGGATCGAGGGATTTTGATACAATATTAAGGAGATGAATTCAGGACTCAGTGCTGAAAGAAGGTGCTGAGAAACCTGTGAAAGGATCAGTGTCACCCGCCTGGGCTTCAGCAGAGAGGCTGCCACAGGTGATTCTCACAGACACTGGGGTTGCTTTCACCTTCAGTTTCAAATTGTCAAAAAACTGGGTCCAATTAAAATGTTAGCTTGTTAGGAGCTGAGTTGAGTTTCCTGAGCCAAGGGGAAGTTTTCCCCTGATGCAGAAAGGAGGGTCAATCCAGTGTTGGTTCCATATATGAAAAGCAAATTCAGTGCTTCCCTGTTCTCTGGGTGCCACTGACCTACAGATGTGCGGGAAAAGTAGAATAAGGGAAATTTGTTCAGAAGAACTGTATCCCAATCAGAAAAGAAAGGCTGAGAAGACTGATTGTTATGATGGCACAGGAAAGACCACACTGGATCAAAGTAAATGGCTAGCCAGTTCCTTGCTGCGTCTTTCTTAAATGCATGACTCAAGGTTACTCGCAATGTTCCAGCTTGTTAAGGAGGAACTGAGCAGAGAATAGAGTGTGGCGATTTAATTTTCCTGGCGGGGATGATTTGTAGATCTTTGTATGTCTTTTATCGTCACCTCTTGGCAGAGCTAGCCCCCTCAAAGAAGCAGAAAAGCTAATAAATGCCCATTTAAGGCCATCTGGTCGTTTTCTAGGTGATTGACATGTGTTAGTTCTCTTAATTTGATCTTCAAAACAACTCCACCAGGGGTGTCTTATTATATCTATTCTGTAGATGAGGAATCAGAGACTCAGAACAAGTTCAATAAGTTTCTCAAAAAATTCACAGGTTACTGGTGAAACCAGGATTTGGTCTGAGTGTTATCTTATGCCGAAGCCAGTGTCCTTTCCAGTAAGTACCACTCCTAAATGATGCAGCTTTGGATATGCACTATAAATGCACAGTGGGTCACATACCCTCCTCCTCACTACGACCTTGACCTTGACCTTCACTCTAGAATACCTGATCATTGCCTGAAACTCTCCTGTCCTTGCAGCTATGGCAGCATTTTAATAGAATGACCTTCACTAACATCATAGAAACAGCCTCTGAGTTACTATCTCTTATGTTGATTATTAAACCGCCCTTCCCTGAATCCTTGGAGAAACAGCCTCATTAAAACCAACCTGAAGATTAATAACTTATTACTCTTACTACATAGTTACCCGTTTTAAGCCTCATAACAACCTCCAGGGCCAGACACCATTATTATCCACATTTTGTACATGAGGCAGTAGAGACAGAGGTTAAGAAACTTGCCCAAGGTCACTCCACCTAGTGGTGGAGTCAGGAACAGAGGCAGGAATGCCACTCACAGATATTTTGAGCCTCACATTTCCATCTCTGCCCAATAAAGAGCCTCATCACAGTTTTACCTTAAAGGAATAGTTGAGGGGATCTTGATTCAGTAATCCCTTCACTTGATCCCCAATTTGTAGATGCCACAACTGCAGATAAGAGCAGTCACATGGAAATGGAGAAGTGGAGGTGGGATTTAAATCTGGGCTTAACTGTCCTTAGACCACTTCACGCTGCCCCGGGTAGGAGACCTTGGATCTGAAGGGTATCCACTCAATGCCTTTTAAAATGCATTACTTACTTCTTTCTCCCATTAGCGTGGGAAATCTCTGTGCAGGGTCTAAATGCTGGTCTTTGGCTCAGACATTCTCCCTGCTCCCTCCATGATAACTCTTGGCTATGGAGGAGAAAATAAACCTGGGGACAAGAATGTGTATGGGTTTTATATATGGTAACCTGTGACAATATTTAGTAGATATGAACAGGCTTTTGAGTCAGATCTGGGTTTGAATTCAGCTTTCCCGTTCAACCTCTCTAAGCCCGAGTTTCCTCATTTGTGAATGTCTGTCTCATAGTCCCGCTGTGAAGACTGCATAATGTACACAAAGTGCTTTGCATGGCGTCTGATGTGGAGAAGGGCTCAGTGCACCGCGGCTGTAACGAGAATACGCTTTCCCTGGTTTTGGCTGAGAAGTATGATTTCCATGGAGCAGGAGACGCTGCACAGCAGGACTAAGTTGCATTTAATTCATGCCATGAAGTTTGCCTTCTTCGGCTAGAGTGTTTGTAAAGCCACAAGGGGGCTGTGAATACTCACGGACTTATCTGGAATATCATCGACTCGTCCAAAATGTGTTTCTTTCCTTTGCCTTTTTAATTCTCTTCCCCTTCTTTCCTTTCCTTCTCTCCCAGTCAAAGGATGCAGAGTTTTAACTCTCAGCTCAAAAAAACCAAACATGAAGTGGGAGAGAAAAGCATTTAACTAGAGTGTCAAATCAGTGGAAAAGAACAATAAAGAGATATGATATTCTTCTTTGCTTTCCTGAATGATACTTTAAGAGATATCTCTTTATAAAATTTCAAAAACCTGAACCTGGAAATAGACCTAAGCAACCGCACGCCAGAATCCCACCATCTTAATGTGTTTTAGCCAACCCTCTTCCAATCTTTCCCCATATGCCTTTTTTTGAAACGTAGATGCAAAATGGAAGATAGATATCTTTGTACGTTTTCTTGTAGCATGTTGCTAAATTAAAAATAGATATACCAAAGCCATGAAAAGACATGGAGTAAGCTTAAATGAAGATTGCCAAGTGAAAGAAGCCAGTCTGAAAAGGCTTCATGCCGTATGATTCCAATTATATGGCGCTCTGGCAAACGCAAAACTATGCAGACAGTCAAATCACAGGAATTTTTTCTTTCACAGGATCGTGGACACAGACGTTTGTGACATTTGTGATCCGTAGTTGCCAGGGGCTTGAGGGCGGGGAGGGAGGGATGAATAATTGGGGCACATGGGATTTTTAGGGCAGTGAAATTATTCTGTATCATACTCTAATGAAGACATTATACATTTGTCAAAACTCACAGAACTGTACGATGTTAAGAATGAACCCTAATGTAAACTATGCACTTTATTTAACGATAATAATGTATCAATATTGGTTCATCAGCTGTAACAAATGTGTAACACTAATGCAGATGTTAATTACAGGGAAACCGTTGAGGAAAGATGGTTTATGGGAATTTTCTGTACCTTCTGCTCGAGATTTTGTAAACCTGAAACTGCTCTAAAAGCAAAGACTATAAAAAAAGGATATATTAGAATTTAAAATTTTGAACATCTGTTGTGCCCTTCAAAATAGTCTCCTCAGATGTTATGTGCATGTTTTAAAGATACTGTCTTTGCTAAAAACATGTTGTAAGTCCTTGCTGAAAAATTTCTACAGAGATTTGGTGGGTGAGCAAGATGGAGATAGCATTTGTAAATTACATTTGTATAATCATTGAAAGATTGGCAGGAAATGGAACATTTTCTCACGTGACTCGTAAATTGAATTTGAAGATCTTTCCTCTAGAGGCAAGTGTTGAGCAAACGCATCCTGGTGGGAATATGTGTGTGGCCTCGCAGGAGAGCTCTTGGAAAAAGAACGTGCTTGTTCGGATCATGAGGTCTTGCACGAGAGAAAAAAATGAAAGCACTATATTTCTGGCTCAAGTTTTTTCTTTCACAGGATCATGGACATAGACATTTGTGACGTTTGACTATCAAGTCATGGTGCACAGACATTTGACTACATCCTAGTTCTATCACTTGCCAGCTGTAGAATCTTGGGCAAGTCTGAATCCTAGTTTGTTTCTCCTTAAAATGGGGGATATTATCTTGGAAAGTTTGTGTGAGAATTAATAGAGAAAATGCAAACTCTATGCCTGGAACATGCTACTCAACACTGCTCAGTCATGGGAAAAATTATTACCAATTTTAATATTGTTTTTATTAAAAGAGCATCTGATTTTAGTGTTCTCTCCTGCAGCTAGTGTTAAAAACCTAGAGTTAAATTTATAAAAAGAGCCCTACTTTGCAGCAGAAAAATGTGCATGTCAATAAGATATTACCTGACACGTTAATACTTAGTATTTTTTAACCTATTTTTTTTGTAACAGCTAAGTTACCAAATTAATGACTTACTTTAAAAAAATCTGAGTTTATGTAAGGTTATCTCTATAATAATGTCACTTTCACTTACTACCATTCTGATATACTTTCTTTTGTGGGAGAGGAACTTCTCATATGTTGCAGCCGGTACATTGAGAACTGCCATAACCTGCAGCTTGTCTTACCAATGCTGAGATCTGTAACCTGGTGCAGCCACAGATGTGTTATGGGAATGTCTTTTGTCAGCTGTTTCATACCAAAGGAAAAGACTGAGAATTGCAGTGTTGGCTTAGTCCACGTGCCAGCTTGTTATTCCTTTTACCCTTCAAAGGAAGACTCAGCTCCTGCTGTAATTCCTGGGGGCAGCAGTGGGAATCCAATTTGTTTTCCCAGAGAACATAATTTTGCCTTAACATACACATCTTCAAGCAAATGCTAAGACATCGAAGAGAACTGATGAAGTATCCTGCTAATTGCTGAAACCCTTGGTTGGTATTTCAGGAATAAATAGAAAAAAATACCCAAATAAAACTTAGGAGAGGATTGAAATTAATTTTAATAACAATATAATGCCAATTCCAAGCCTGGCTTACAACTCAGCATCGAGTTAATTTAATTCCTCAAACCCCATTGCTCCAACAAAATGTTGTTTAAATCAATTCATTCTTTCATTAGGCTGTCTAAGAGTACCGTGGAGTGATGAGAAATTACTGAGATGACATTCATGTTTCAAAAGCCCCTCAGTTTCAGTTCATTTTCCATCCCGACATGGGACTAATGTTCTGCATTTGCATGCTGAAATAGTATTTTTAATTGTAAAAGTGGTGTTGTTAAATTACCTTCAGATGAGTTTATTTTAAACGGTTCATTAAAGTTTTTGAAATCGTTCCTTGCATGATTGCATCTCCTCTCCGCTTTGATGTATTACATCTCTCACGGAAAATGCTGGCGCCCAGAGGAAAACCTTTTCTTGCAAGACTCACATCTCACAATCTGGCTGGTTTCGAAGCGAGAGCAGCAAAGGCCTCACTCTATTGCAGAGTGGCCGAGGGCATCGTCTCTGGCACCTCCGCCGAGAGGCTTGGGTGAGGGGTGACGGCAGGTGACTGTGTTTGGTAATAATGAAAGGTCAAAGCCACGGAGGTTTCAAAAGGCCTGTGTCAGCTCCGAAGATGAGAAGCAGCTCCCTCTGGAGAGCCAGTTTGGTTCTGCGATTTAAATACATCTCACAGATTTTGTGCGTTTGCTTTCATTTTAAATTTTCTCCCCTCATACCACCCTTCACTTCATTATTTCTCCTCTCTGGGTGTTGTCTAGAACAGTGGCCCTCAACCTTTCTTATCTGAAGCCTCAACAATCACTTTTTCAAAGAGGAAGGATTCTTTTAGAAACAAATAGCATGATTTTTCTGGGATTGTCATTTATATGTTATGAGAATTCCTTTCTCATATTATTCACTTATAGTAGGTTGAGAGGAATACAAAGTTGTATATTTACTCATGTATAGCAGTTTTAGGGAAGATACAAAATTGCAATATATTGATGGAGTAAATTTGATTGTCATTCCTTCGTTATTGTTATGAAACCCTAATTTCCCATCCAGGCCCACTACCTTCTCCAGTGTTAGGACCGCCTGTCAAACACCACTGAGCAAGAAGGTTTTCCCCAGTGAGGGAGACAACGTGAGAGAAAGTGAAGACAGCCAGCTCCAGCTACGTTACCCGCTGTAGAATATAATGTCAGCACTTGGCAGCTCGTTGATCAGTGGATGGTCTTGAGACTATCTCTTACCATCCTTGCTTGTCAAATAAAATCCAAACTCTACTTAATGACCCCAACCACCCTAACCTTGAGAAGGAGCAGCATTTCCGTTTCTATTTGGACAGAATTCCAGCTTTCTCCTCGTAACATCTGTTATTGAAAATGCTATCTTTCTGGTGACGTTTAAGGCACCATATTACTATTCTGCATTAACAATTTGTCTTAAAATTTTTTGAGCAATGGTAATAGTGTGATAGTCAATGCGTTTGCCAGAGCCAATGTCAAGAATAGAACTCATTTCCTCAAGTTAGCCACTGATTCTTCAACCTTGCCCTTTAATTTTTGGCCTACGTTAGCTTTTCCTGGAACTTGCAGCACTCACAGTGCATCAGCAGGTGTTTCTTGAGCACCTACTATGTGCAAGGCACTGTAATAGGAACCGTGGGGAATACAGAATAGTAAAAATGGAGAGTAAATGAAAGCTAATAACCATTTTCTCCATGTTAATTACTGTGCTATGTATTTTCACATGCATTATCTTATGGTAGCCATGCAGAATAGATATGATCCTTCTCATTTTATAGGTAAGGAAGCTGTAGGTTCTCATTTTAGCCCTCAAAGGATTTACAATCCAATGGGGAAATAAAGTACATATGCATGATAGAGTAAAAATATAAAGCACTACATAATGAATATCAAATGAGTATGTCCAACATAACTACCGCCATTGTTGAAGAGAGAGGTCATTAATTTGGTTTGGGCTAATTAGGAAAGTCTCTGATCCCACGGCAGGGTAGGGATGGGAAGTCATTCATCCTCTAGGCGTTTTTGGAGTGTTCACTATGGTACTTTTCTGTGAATTCATAGTCTGAGGATGGGGCTGGTATACAAACAGGAACATCAAGGAGGGAGTGGCTATGTGATATTGTATGGGTTTTATATGAAAGGGGAAGTTTAATAAATAAGCGTTGGACATTGCCCTTTGAGCCTCAGGACTTGTTTGGGTAGTTTTCACATCTTTCTTCACTTCTGCTAGTACTTTTTTCATGTCACAGAATTCACTAAGACATAGAAGAGCTTACACTTTTGGTGTTTCTCCTTCCATAAGCTCTTGGCTTTACTGATATTTTATAGAAATAAACTACTTCATTTTCCAGGATTCAGGGCAGTTGATTTTACAAATTTCTTCTTTTTTTTTTGAGGAAGATTAGCCCTCAGCTCACTACTGCCAGTCCTCCTCTTTTTGCTGAGGAAGCCTGGCCCTGAGCTAACATCTGTGCCCATCTTCCTCTACTTTATATGTGGTACGCCTACCACAGCATGGCATGGCAAGTGGTGCCATGTCTGCACCCGGGATCTGAGCCAGCGAACCCTGGGCCACCGAGAAGCGGAACGTGCGAACTTAACCGCTGTGCCACCGGGCCGGCCCAATTTTACAAATTTCAACATGGCTAATAACATCAATATAATCAAAGTTTCAAATTCACTTCCATGTCAATTCTCCTGCCTATTTCTTCATGTGGATAGTTTTAGAATTAACGAAAACAGTACATGCTAAAAATGGACTGATTTTTAAGTTTTTACATAGAAGCTGAATTTCTTCAGCTGTTGGAGGGTGAGAACTTGGATGTTTAGTTCACACTATAGTGTGAAAGGGTTCCATTGCTTTGTTAGAAGTGAGGTCTTCTACTGAAACTATCCATTGAAATGACACAATAACTCAGCTCTGGGTTACAGACAGTCCAATATTTTGTTGTTGACCAGGGAGTATGTCAAGGAAAATCTTATCTGTTTCCTATGACATCAGAGGTTAGGAATTTTCTCTGAATATTTCCAGGTTCCTTAAAAACTTGTTGGCAGTTTACCAAATAGAAGTTTGGCCACCTCCCTTAAGAACCTATATTTTTTCACCTGTATATCCTGGAATGACCCCTTAGCACTGTATTATGAGCTAGAAACCTAGATTATGGATTTGCCTGCCACTTACTAACTCTGTGGCTGTGGGTTATTGCAGGAAGTCTCAAGGCCTCAGTGTCTTCATTAGCA